GTCCTGTTCAGCCATGGCCTCTTCACGCCTGCGCAGGATGGAAGAATTGTCCCACGTGGTCCTAAGTAGCTGTACAGAGCATACTTACCCAAACAAAATAGGAAGGTTCCACTACAAAAGCCAACCATCTGTTGTGCTATGTAGGTAATTACTTTGGACCCTTTGGGTGTTATAAAGGGGCTCGCTCTGTAGAAACGGCTTGTGGAGCCCTCATGACCAGTAAGATGGGAAACCTTCAACCCTGGGGACATGAGGGATTAATTGAAAAGGCGGGCTTGGTGCCCTGAAAAACACAAGCAGCCGAAAGAACGGCCAGCTCTGTCATACTGCTGGCTTTTAATTTGTTCAGCCGACTTTGGGCACAAACCCATACCTAAAATTCCATAGTCTGTATAGTTCCTACGTCCTCCAAGTGAAGTTGTCGTCAAGCAAGTCCCAAAACAATCATGCGCATCTGTTTTACACCTAGGTTGAGCACAAGAAGTCAGCGCCTGGATCAGAGAGCCATCGTCGACATTGGCAGGGCAAAAACGTTTGAGGGGATTGTCGGCTTAGGGTTCAGGGTTAGGATTTGAAGCAGAATCAAGACTGTTGCTTCCCAGCTGAGGGTAAGGGGTTTGAGACAGATTTGATTCTTAACGCTTTGGAGCCCACACCTCTGTAGGAAACCCGGGTCTTGTATACACGTGTGACTGTGGGAGAGGGTCAGATCGTGACAAGCATGTACATGCTTCTTGAGAAGCTCGCGAAGACATGTGCATGGATAAGTGCATTCTCTCAGCTCCAAATGCTACTGTTGCTAGCGCTAAAGCTGCCGCCGCTGCCACTCCTAGTTCTCCTCCTGCTCCTGTTATCAACACTGTCACCGCCCTGGCCACCACCGCTCCCACTGCCACTACCTTGCTTTGCCTTACCATGGCTACTAACCAACTTGTTGTTCACCTCTCGAGCACCTGAGAAACCCTGATCGCGAGATCCAAGGAGTGATCTTTTCAGAAGTTGGCGGTACCCTAGGGACCTAGGGATGTACCAGGAACAAGAAGGGAATTGGGGTCCCAGTTGCTGAAGCCCCGAGGCCAGACGTCTATACGTTTTTTTTTACTGTAATGCAGCTATGGGAGCCCAACAAGATGTAAGTGTACCCAACCTTCAGGACTGTAAAAGGCCCACTGCAAGAAACTTCATGTTAGGTCTCCTTCAGCTCTGCCAAAATCATGCGTGCCTCTGCTCTTCCTTGGGAAAGATGGGCGGCAACGCTCCAACAGCATGAGGTGTCACAACTCTATGGTGAACCATTGCGCCTTTTTCTCGCTTTTGGAGGCATAACAAATGGTGGTTTCCCAAAATAGGAAGACTTCAAGGTTATAGACACCGAACTGCTATAGTCCTTATTAGAAGGAACCCCAACCGAGTATCCCTAATTTTGGGAAACCCCACATCTCTCCAGTGGCTGCTTGTTGTCATTTGCCGATGGATGCTGCAATCTTGGAGCTTTGAAGAAACCTATGACCACAGCCGGCACATTTTACAGTAGATAGACCGAGCTTGGGCGGACTCACGCGAAGCTTGAGTACTATAATCATGCCAGCCATATAGTGATGAGAAAGGCTAGATGGAACGTCTAGACCTTAAACTATATGGGCGTTGTCAAAAGTATGGTCCCTTTTTGGATCCCTATTGTAATACGGCGGCATCTAATATGTAGGGTACCCGAAAGGGGACCATAATTTTGACAACCACCGATATGCAGAGCCACACAACCGGAAAGCAGTCAACAGGGCACTCATATCTAAGCCGTAAAGCCTGGCTGCCCTCACATTAAGCCTGATCAGATATGTCAGGACCTTCAAGTCATACGTGGTATATTCTGATTGCATTACAAGGCTTTTAGGGTGTACATATATATATATGTATATATACATATACACATACTTACGCATACACATTCAGGATTTGTTGTGCATACGTAGATGTATAGATGTACTATATACACACACATAGACACATAGCTGGTAGATCAGGAATGGTCCATAACCAGACTTCTGTCACTTTTCTCACGGCCGGTCGAAGTTTGATGCCTGCGCCAGCAAGGGTCGGCAACCAAGTCTTCTTGGCATCAGGGTTAATATTGGAAAGAGGCCAAGAATAAGTATTCAGAGTAGCATCAGTAGGCGTGTGTTTCTATCGGAGGTGGGGCGCCTTTTTTGCTTCTCACATTCCTTTTTTTCAGCACGCATATATACCCGTTCAAAGCAAAGGTGCGGATATCTCTTGCATTGCAAGTTAGCCAGGAAAGGTATGGACGGTGGAGGGTTGCAGTCGGTATGCAGTTATAGTGCCACAGGGCCTCGATATCTACCAGCATCATGTTGAAGTCTATTTGAGGTACCCTTTCAACATGCAAGGACCCTGGGACCATAGCGTTCGTAATAATTTGTGCCCCTACATTACTTGCTAACACCTGGGCTGTAGGTCACGGCTTAGTTTCGGCCAGGCAGGGCCCAGGTCCCCGGCTTTGGGGTTTGGGATAGTGAGGAAGACCACGTTTGGGAGTACATAGGTTTGAGAGGGACAGCCATTGTGGAAAACCCCTGTGGATAATAATTCGGCACTCCCTTAGACAGAATGCGCACAAAGCTTAAACGCCATGTTTGGGAGCACGTAGGTTTGAGGGGGACACCCATTCTAGAGAATACCCACTGACAACTGTTGACACTCCTTGAAACAAGGCTCTCAAGAAACTTCAAAGCCCAAACGCATGGAGCCCTTGCTGCTGCCTTTTGAAGCATGAGGCCTTGAGTACTTTCCTCAGCGCTGCACTGTTCTTCATTGAACTGCTTTGCAGCTGGGGAGAAGCAAGCAAATCGAATTTGTCGACATACAACCATGGGGAGTACTCCCAGAATTGAGAGCCCTGTCTGGAGCACCCTTTAGTCATCATACTGCACCTACCATTGGCGGGTACCAGAGAAGGGCGCTGAATTTTGGAGAGTACACATAGCCAGCTCACGCAGGCGGCTGGTACTAGCAGGATCCATTAAACGACCCTGCCGGCTTAAACGCATTTCTTTCCGGTAGGAGGGCAGATGGCAGCGGAAGCCGCTTTGGAAGCAGACAGGCCTAGCGACCCCGATTGGAAATGCGCCATCTCTGCTGTAATTTGCAATCAATTTAAGCTTCATAGCTCAAGAGATCAGACGTATGTACATAGCTCGGGACTAACGCGTGCATCAAGATGGCCTGCAATGAACAAGGACTGGGAGGAGTTTGCGTAAGTTGCTTGTCTAATCACTTTTGAGGCTTCCATTCTATACAGCCCCTAAGATAGAAGGTACCCAAAAAGAATTCATCAATTTCTACAGCGTGTCACAATCTTTGTTTAGGCTAGGGGCAGGGTCTGTCGGAAAGATGGAAATGAGGAAGCTTTAGGGTTTTCAGTATCAGAAATGGAAACACAGCTGTATAGTGACATATATATATATATACATATATACGTATACCACAGGGTATATGTATGTGTATATATATATATGTATATACACGAGGTAGTTCATAAACCTGAACAACCGGCTTAGGGTTTAGAGTTTAGGGATTCGGGTTTAGGGCTTTGGGATAGGGATTGTCTAGGGATTGTAGCGGGTCTCTAGAGGGGATTATATTGGGGCTATAGAGGGACCATGCAGAGATTACCCCAATGGTTAAGTACTACGTTGGTATTATATGAGGATGATGTAGTGTGCGTTTGGGTCTGTGGGGTTGGCAGAGGGTTTCATACAGAGTCTATGTGGTTTTTCGGATTATATGATTTAGGAATGTGACACCAAGCATGGAGATTCAACGGAGACGAAAAAGGAACATGAAATGGAAACTGGGAAAATGTAGGGGTTCTGGCTTTCGGGCTTGCAAGGTATGGTACGAAACACTAGTGTTCCTAGAATTATGGCTACAGGGGGATATAGACCATGAGCTGGCTAAGTTGAGCGTTTTCCTGCCTAACTTCAGAGGGCAGCTTTTCCCTCAAGACTGTGCACGCTTAGGGTTAATTGATGACCAGAGCCGGTAATCAACGAGGTATGTTGTGGGCGCACGGGCGGGCGCAGACCCCAAGAGTTCCTGCTAACAAGAATAGAGGGGCACTTCTTCATTCACTCTTGTTCTGAAACCTAGAACTGTCAAGACACTAGGTGCAACGAGCTGTGCTTTACGTTGCAGCTCCTGAAGGCCACGCTGCTCCAAGGTTTAGAGGTTTATAGTCATCCCAGCCTGTGAGTGCCGACCGTGCAACCCTCAGCAAATAGCCCAAGCCGAGAGCAACATGACCTTGGTGAACTTCAGATGATGGTAGGGTAATGTTGAACTGTTGAACAAGTACGGCTTTTGTATGGGGGGCGCTTCTGGTTGGCAAACTTGCTTTCGACATTTCATTCAGCCACCGCCAAGACTTGAGACTTGCTTGCACTCACACCCTAGGGCCTGGCAAAATGCTGAAATCCACTTGGGTGGTTGTCAAAATCATGATCCCTTTTTGGGTGCCCTAAATATTAGGTGCGTATTATAATAGGGATCCAATGAGGGACCGTAATTTTGACAACCACCCACTTGGATTTTGCCACCATGATGTTGAAAATGCACGAGTTCTGTACGGGTACGAATTTGGTTCGCGAGATTGTTTTCAACACTTCGCAAGGCCACCGAAAAGACCCAAGAGACGCGCAACTTAGAGCCAGGCAAAATGTTGAAAAATGAGACTGGCTGTTTGCACCATAATGTCGGAAAAGTACGGATTTTGTATGGGTGTGCCTTCTGTTGGCGAAAATGTGTTCAACATTTCGCGTGGCCACCGTCAAGAGATGAGACGGTCTCGGACTTGTATACACTTTAAGCGACGCCAAAATGCATTCCGCCCCAACAAGTCTTCCCTATGGCGCAAGTGTATTCCGTTCGACGACAGTGCCAAAATCATCCCGATGCAGCCATATAAGTAAAACTAAGCCCGTGACCAAGCGCAAAGAACTTCGCCCGGGCCGACACAAACATCCTCCCACACCATTACCTTGCCTGCCACGACTGCTGGGAGACCTAGCCCTTTCCTTGGCTGCACCCATCTGTACCCAGCGGCTCCTATGGTTTTGGGGTTTAGGTTTATTGTTTAGGGTTCCTTTGGGTAAGGGATTATTCTATACCGTCCATCCAGGAAAATCAGAAGAAGCTCTAGGTAGTCTTGAGGATTCAAATCTGAAACGGCCTGAAAATTCTTTGATCGGCTTCAGAACAGATTTTGCCTTCTATCAAAAATGTCGAAGGTAATTGTAAGGTCTGTGTTAGGTGGACCCCCCACCCTGCAAATAGTGACCATACGGGATAATAAGGATTCTTATTAGGGCCCTCTTGATTCCTGTTATACCACTATTACAAGGTGGGAGGTCCTCCTAAGGTCTGTGGAATCACAGCTCTTCGAAGCCTTCACCATGCGCCACATAAGAAGTGCTGCCAAACATTCAAACGAACAACTTCTGAGGCGAACACCCGAGTCCTGCTGAACCCTGCAAATCCCCGAATAGCTCCTGACATGTAGCAAACAGCTATACCAGGACATACTGTAGAATCTAAATTTACAGGGACCGCCAAAACACCTCTCAAGCTCTTGGCATGCAACCAACCCTAAACCTTAAATCCTAAACTGTCCAATCGAACATCTGAGCTTCGTCCAATGTCCTCGTCCACCCTGACGAGACTTGCGGCCAGCTACGCCCCCACACTTGCGCAGCGCAAACTTACCTTGCAATTCTAGGGTCTAGGGTTAGCTTTGGTTAGCAAGGAGTGAAGGACCCTAAACCCTAAACCACGTTGCTATTGGGAGTTGTACAGGGCTAGTGGATCCCCTCCTTCATTCCATGCTAACAAGAGGTAGGTAGTTGTATAGTTAGGGGCTTAGGGATATAGTAGCTTTCGCAAAGAGAGGGGCGACCTCAAGAAGCCCAAGTCTTTGGAAACCGCCATATTTAGGGATGATGGATGAAAGGTTTTTTGGGTGATTTGGGGATCTTAGGATCCAGGCTTTGTTCAGTGACCTGATCGTAAGACCTGTTGAAATCAGCTGTTTTGCAGGCATCCTTCTAGCACGTGAAAATCCAGTGCTTGGTCTTCAAGCGAACCATGCTACTTTTGTTAAGGGGTCTAACGTGAGAGAATTGGAACTTAACTTGAATGTAGGATAGACTCTGCAGAGTCAGCAGCTGGAATGCTGGCTCCCGAAAAGCTGCATACCAATCAGCTCAAGAATCCCACGGACTACAAGCCGAACACCGTCAAATCCCTACACGAATAAACCCTAGACCCAAAAAAAGCCTCAGCCCTACACCCCGAAATCCCTACACGATAAGATCTCTAGCTGCTAGCCTAGGGTTCATGTGTAGTTCCTTTTGGGTGGTCGAATACTATGACTATAACACGTGCCAAAAAAAACATGAAAAATAAACAGTACCTGCATAGGAGCCTCTGAGTAAGCTCAGTTGCCGCACTTGGAAATCTGCTGTCGGTCGCTCCGCGTTAAGGCACTTGCCTCTGGGCCGTAAGGAACCAGCAGCCCTTCGTGGTAGTGGCAGCTCATGCCTCAGGTTTGGTGGGTACTGTCAGGGCCCAAATAAATCGAATAAGGTTTCGGGGTGGGTGAAACAGTGATGCTATCGCTATACGTATAAGGACCACAATTGAGTCACGTTGGGGTTTTTAAAGCTTCTACATCATGGCTTGGGGGTGTGGGCGTGTTTGGGTCCTGGGCCAAAGACTTAATCTTTGAGACTACGACATAGGGTGCAAGGCCTGCGGCCTAGCATTTAAGGTTTGGCAAGTGAGGCTGGGGAGAAGCGATGACTTTTGATCTTGTGAACATACTGATGTCTGTTCCCTCTTACGGAAAGAGAAAATGAATCTGTCAGCTTGAGCTGGGCCTACTTCGGGAGAAAGGGCCCCACACAGCCTGCATCATGAGCATCAGCTGGGCCTAGTTTGGGCGAAAGAGCCTCGCACAACCAGCATCATGAGCATCAGCTGGGCCTACTTCGGGCGAGAGAGCCCCGCACAACCAGCATCATGAGCATCAGCTGGGCGTACTTCGGGAAAACAAGGCCCAAACAGCCTGCATCATGAGCATCAGCTGAGCGTACTTTGGGAAAACAAGGCCCCACACGGCCTGCATCATGAGCATCAGCTGGGCATACTTTGGGCGAAAGAGCCGCCCCGCACAACCTGCATCATGAGCATCTGCTGGGCGTACTTCGGGAAATAGGGCCCCACACAGCC